TGTGTGTGTGTGTGTGTGTGTGTGTGTGTGTGTGTGTGTGTGTGTCAGAGAGAGAGATAGACTCACTGATGTTGGGGCTGCGGATGGTTAGGTGATTGGTCTCTGCCATTAAGCGAGGGCTCAGGCTGGTCACCATGTGGTCAATGCGTTTGACCACATCCATGGGGCCGTTCACCACCTCAAACACAGACCACGAGCAGGTTAGCAGCAGTGACACGTGCCCACTATGGCCTGCTCACGGCAGTCATCAAACCAAAGAAGGCAGATCTCAAAATGGCCATTCATACAGTACTTTTATCCTCTTAACTGTTTCCCACACTGTTGCAGCAGAACTGGGCACATACACACCTCAGTGGATGGGCCTATAATGCAGCGCACAATCAGAGATTTCCTGTTGTCTGTATTGAAAACCTGCATTCTGATTTCAATTTGCCCGTTGAAGAACTGAGCCTTGGAGACAGCTGGGAGCAGAGCAAGAGAGGGAGGTTTATGGATGAGCACATGCACAGCTTTTTTAAATGGCTCATCATTGAGTCTGCGTTGAGTTGGCCTTGGAGCGCTGCGAGTTCTGAGGGGGAAGGGAGGCAAAGTGCTGAGAGAAACACTTGTCATAAGGCAACCTTTATACAGATCCATACACATCAATAGTGCAGAAGCAGAGGAGGAAAAAATAACAGAGTCTGGTGACAGAGATGAGGGAAAACACAGTGCAGCGAGTGTGAACAGGCTTACATGGATGCCTTTACTCAATAATTAGAGAAAATTTGGGAAAATCTGGATGACTAAGCAATGACTTGGAGGCAGACTTTAAATTTATCAGCTCTGTTCTTCATCACTGAAGCTGATGTTGAGCTCTTGGAACAACACAAACCATAGAAGCATACTGTCCTCTGGTGGATTTGAAGGAAAATAACACCTATGTTCCTACAAAACCAGTCACTGGAGCGTAAGTGGGACAACAGCCTTTCTCTTGGTCCTCACACTTCCTATCTTTTGATACTGAGCTGTGATTAGACCAGTGCTCTCTTCACCAAATTGAATTTTTGACACGTTTGTGTGAGGTATAATCTCAACATCTATTAGGTCATTTAATATCTGTGCAGGGTTATGTATAAAGGTTGGGCAAAGCCAATCTAACATGTAGCATCTTTTATTTAGCATCTGACGGAGAAAAGAAACATCACCAATCCTGGATCAATCAAGAGTCAGCTGTCTCATTCTGGAAAGTGCAGCAGGCAGGGAACCACTTGTACAATTAATTAGTTCTCAAAGTTTAAAAAGTTATTTTAGCATAAAGCAGCTTCGCAAATTAGGGAATGTAGTCACAGGTGTTTACGTAGCAGTGAGGTTGTAATGCCTGGGTCCTGAAAGTGTGGCCCATGGACCATCAATATAAATATAATATGATGACCATAAATAATAGAAAATGTACCAACAGTTATGAGATTCAGCAAAGCATAGTGACATCTAGAACAATTTCTACACGTCTTTAGTACATTTCAGTTTTCAGGTACAAGCACTCTCCTTTCTTGCCATCATCCCCTCGTTGAACCTGGGATTGGGTCATGTGACATGGACTGGGTTTTATAGCACTTTTCTACTCTGAGCACTCAAAGATTTTACGAAAGCTGCCTCATTCACATAAGCACTTTTTTTTTTTACACGAGTCCTTTCTATACTCTGACGGATGCATCGGGTTAGCACCCTGCCCGAGGACAACTGGCACGTAGGGGCCTAAGTTGCAGTGCCATTTAGCAGCGTTATGGCTTGAGTGTAAACATTCTTCCTCATTCGTTCTGTCCTGGCAGCCGCACATGGCAGCTTGTTATTAAGGTGGCTGGTTCCCCTGCTGTCCTCCTGGCTGCAGATGTGTAACGTTTGCTGTCTGTCCTACAGATTCAGGAGGTTAAACTAGCTGAATGAGCTACCTTCCTGAGGACCAAATGGTTCCATCAGATGTGTTTCTACTTCCAGGAGGTGATGCTCCAACTCAGGATGCAAGGGTAGACGTTCCTGAGCACCCTGGGTGGGAGTTTGAAGCCCTTTAATCATCTGAGGTACTCATCAGGACTATATCCCTGAAACTCATTTTATGTTAATTGCATATAAAATTCAATACATTTTCAATAGGCTTAACAAAAGGTTTGCAAATCTATATTTAACTGTTTATATTTAGGGATGCGACTTCTGTGGATGATACAAGTGTTACGTCTGTGTGTTTTTGGTGCTTTCTAAAGGTTAGTACTTCATACCTCAAATACTTACAAACAAAGGAAATACCAGAATTCGATCTGTGTGTGCATCATAGAAGAGGACAGTGAATTCATTTTTGTTTCTAAATGTATTTTGAATTTATCAGGATCAGCTCTTGAATAGAGAACCACACACACACTCTTAAATCCACTCCCACGGTGAATTTACAGATCACCAGTGAACCCACTATTTTGTTAGTTACTTTAACTCAAGTTACTTTAAATACATGTAGCAAAGGTTTAATTCCAAATATAGAGAGTACTAAACATCAAAACAAACAGAATAATCAGCGATGAGTTAAGCAGACGTTTCCTGCCTTGCCTCCATTTTAGCCACGTTGAGCGAGAGAGCAGAAGCATGTGCAGCAGTTCTTCAGCATATACAAAGAATAATGACCCTTAAAGACTTGTTTCCCATTTAGAAGCTGCCATTATTCCATTTATTTGAAAATCTATTCCTACTACTTGAGCTTCGGATCCTTAAAGGAAGAGTGGGTTAAGGCTGACAACTACATTCTTCTGTCTGACTGTACAATAGTAATCAGGTCAGATGTAGAGTTATATATTGCACACATTTGGAAACCAAATATGCATTAATTCCCTGAGAGATGGAACATGATCCCTAAAGTTTAGAATAACTGTCGTAGGCTATGGTTTGGGCCACATCCCATTTTTCCTGGCTGTATCTTAATTGGCCCGTGGGGATAAATAAGGTCTTTCTGATTCTGATTCTGGCAAACTAGAAAAAGTATCCTGAACAATCCTGAAAGTAATCATTTGGCATCTTCTACCTTTACGTTTATTCTAATAACAAAAAGAGGGAAAGATTTTTTGGTCTTAGAGGAACTGGCTGTTCAAACAGAAGATGCTGAAGAGAATGATGACTGTGTTTATTTGTGAATGAGGGTAAATGAAGCTTTGAGTACTCAAGTAGAGTAAAAAAGTACTATGTAAGAATCAGTCCATTTACCCTTTATCCATCAGTTTCCTTCTGTTCACCCAATCCTGGAGTGCGGGCTTGCTGCAGCCTCTCCCAGCTATCACAGGCTGACAGGCCGGTACACCCTGACCAGGACTGCCACAGGGCAGGAAAACAAGGAACTCTAAGCACTTCTGGTACAGTCTGAATGACAAGTTGAGGTTGTGTAAAAACTTCTGATATTGCGACATTGCAGGTAAAAACACACAGTCAGTATCAGAGTCACTCCGTGTGAACTACCTCTTTGATGGCTTGCCACTTTAAGGTGTCTTCTTCACTGATGATGCTGTCAGCCAAGCTGATGAAGTGCTGGCTGAGCTCCTGTATGTTGTCCTGGCTGTAGTTAGTGTCATGGGTAAATGGCTGTGAGGGGACGTCTGCAGTTAGAGACAGAAGCTGTATGAGGGACATCATGTCTGCTGGCTGCAGTCCCTCGTCCCGGGTGTCCTCCAGGGCCTGGACAGAGATGTCAAGCAGGGCAGATGCCTGGGCCAGGCTGCTCAGCCCTGATGGCAGCATCAGCTAGGAGAGGACACAGCGACGCTGAGTTTTTAGTGTGATTAATATTTACTAATAACTTTCTGTGACGTCAGGTTGAGTTCATGTGTTTTTATTGGTGTTTTCCTGCTGGAAAGTGGAAAAGGCCTGATAAAGAATAAGAAATCAAATTTAAAAAGTCTGGATACAGTCTGGACACAATTATTGTCACAATTATCATAAATAGCACAATAACAATATAATCACAATGTGTTTAGGAGGTGAAAAATAACACTTGTGTTATTAGTCAGCGTCATCTCAGATTTATTTTTCATTTTAAAAAAATGCAGATTCATGTAGTTGGCAGGAGACACTAACTGCACAAAAGCATACAAAAAGCCAAAACAGTCTGATTTCCTAATGATAGCATGACCTGTATATCACTGACACACTATCAATATTTCATTTTCATATGTTGCAGTTACCCCTGCGTGAATCGCTCCCTTATCGTGGTGGAGGGGTTTGTGGTAGCGTCTCCCTACCAGGGGAGACCAGACAAAGAGTCATTCAGACCCACTATGAGCAGAGATCAAGGGAACTGTCTGCCTGCCTGGGGTAGGGTTACCGGGGCCCTGTCCTGGAGCCAGGCCCGGGTTGGGTGTGTGTCTGGTAGCAAGCCATTAGTCCGGGTACAGCCTGAAAAAGGGACATGAGCCCACCCTCTTGTAGACCCACCACCCTCAGGGGGCGCATTAGGGGTTGGGTGCAATGTGTTCTGGGCCAGGGGAGGCTAGGGGCAGAGACCCTGGCGGACCGATCCTTGTCTACCAGAACTAGCAATTGTTACATGCAATGTCACCTCTCTGGTGTGGAAGGAGCCTGAGTTAGTGCAGTTGAAAGGTCCCAGCTAGATAAAGTCCACCTCAACCCACGGTGTGGGCTCTGGAACCAGTCTCCTGATACTTTTAAAATAAAAGTAAAAATGCAGTGCAGTTATAAAACATATGAAACATGTAGAAGTGTACCTGGCTCTGGTTGGAGAGCTTCATCAGCTGGCTCATGAAAGCAGTGGGCTGAGAGCTCTGAGAGTCACTCATCTGCTTCATCTTCAGGTAACGCTCTGTGCCAAAAACAATATGACATGAATGTAGGTGATATATAGTAAGAGCAGAATGCACTGCTGCTCACAGATCATTACTCAGTCCTGGGCCTGCTGCAACCTCCGAGAGTACAACACTAAACCCAAATCAAAAGTGACCTCCCGTACTTAGAGCTCAGATAGTGTGATTTAGTTACAGGAGGCAAAGAACTGAGACTCTATTACTCAGTATTAATGCTCAGTCGAGGACTGTAACTCCAGCAACCCTGCTTGAAACCTTTTTTTTTTTTTTTTT